TAACCACTCTGGTCAGTGTCATTTCCAGCTGCAGCAGTTTTCTGTCAAACATGATAAAGTTAGCGAATAGCTGATGAACACAGTGAAGCATCTAGTAGCTAAAGAGGCAGATAGTTCCCTCAGAAGTTGGTGGAGACCAAAACAGAGTTATAAAAGGAGGGTGTGTATTGGTCACATTCATCAGGAGGCTACGTGCATGACTGAAAATGAATGCTAATGTAAGTTTGGGTCCGGTATTTGCTTGCTAACATCGTAGGCATGACTTTATAAGGTGATATGTCAGTATTGTGTCTACAGCTTGTTGTGCCGCCCCCAAATGGCCAAAAGATCCAATAAATCAGGTTTAAAGGAGCTGTGTGTGACATTGAGAGTGTGTCTATGATTCAGAGTCTCGACTGGGGTTGCTTGCACATGGCTCTCAACATGGAGGTGGCTGAGCCGGTGGCGAGCAGCTAATGGTGCTAACAGCAGGACCGGTTCTAATAACAGCAACAGGCTGACAGAACTGGTGGTGCTAACATTAGGGGGAACCAGAGGGTAGGCGTTACCCTTCTGTGACGATGCATCCTGCCATCATGGGTCTGGATGGCATTATCAGCTGTGGCCGCCATGTTAATGCAGTGCAGAGTGGCGGCGATTAGCAAGCCAGTGGGATACATGCACTGACATGAACACACAGCTGGACCCGCTGCCACAACAAATAACAGAGAAGCTCAGATCACAACACACATAGAGGGAGCGTGACTTAATTTCCTGCTCAGGACACCATTACTCCACCATATCTTATTATATATAGATATATTAAAGCTCTAAATGTTGCACCCAGCTCCTTTAACATATCTAGAGCCAAGTCAAACAAGATTCTCAGCATTTCAGCGACAATAAATCTACAATCACTCTCCCAATGCTGTCACTACCCACACAGTTAATCTTACATCTGCCAACACAAGAATACACTGTATACAGTATATAAAATATCCATCCTGCGAGTGTCAAGAAGCAGTGAGGATGTTGTGAGAAGCAACCTGTACCAAATGTTGCCCATGTGTTATTGATGAGAGAGGAGCAGAATAATGCAGTCAATATAAATAATGTAAACCAGCCACAGCTTTTTACTCGACTGCCAGAAAGAGGCGGGCAGCGATTCATCCAGAGTCAGCGAGGCGAGTTTTCTCATGCACACCTGTTCAATATGGTACCAGGCCTGACATGCTCTCTTCACACTCTCTGATCACAAGTTCATCGTCGTCGTCAGCACTGACTGTGCTCATGCGGGGGTGTGTATGCATGTGCGTTTTTGCGCACGTGTTTATGATTTGGTGAACCACGTTGCCATGACAAAGTGCTGTTTGTACTTGATTAGCACTGGTAGTTTGCCGCCATCTGCGGTAATAGTTCTGTTGTTGAGATGAACTTTGGTCAGTGGTCCGGTATAGGAAACGTGGAGGTTTCAAACAAACAGCGGTTATGTGGGCACAACTGTTGCTGTGGATTACTCACAGCTCTCCAACTATGTGTCTGACTTTACTGTTCATACCAACACTGCTCTCTGTATCTCTCCACACACTCAATGTCAACACGCTGCAGGGCACGTACAGTACATCTGGATGTATGTGGAGCATGAGCAGGGGACCGCATGGGGAGAGGAAGTAGACAGTGGAAAGAGAGAAGGATGAAGACTCAAGGGGAGCAATCAGAAGGGCAAAACCGAAATGTGACCTAACATCCTACACACGAATGGAGGCGTACGCACATGCAAAAATGCTTAGATGCACAAGAAAGGACACACACATACACACACAAATACTGATATTTAGGGGAGGCTGAGAGGCATTACAGAGATCATTTTGTTCAGAGCAACCTCATTCACCTCTTCTGGAGAAAGAAGAAACCGCACACAAAAACATGAATACAAACACACACACACACACACACACACCCACACACACACACAATGTATATAGTATACTAGCTGCTCCATCCGTCTTGCACTCCTCCTCTCTGGGGGGCCATAAATCAATCACTGCCAAAATACTGCACTTCAACAGTGCAACCGAGAGTCACAGAGGTACATGCACATACACTGGGTAACACATTCATTACATCTGTCTCTACATTTGCATTCACTTTTTGTTGTGGTAATTTGAATGTCAAATGTGGACCTTCACTGCATCAAATGCTAATGGTTCAAGCGCTGCCAAAAAATTATTCCTAAAACAACTGTATCTTTAAACAGCACTTCCTCAGAATGTTGAATTCTTGGGTTGCTTATCATAAATGCGTTACGCTTTTTCAACCAAACTAAAGTAAACAAAAGTCAACTGAATGGAAGGGAGAAAACCATTACTACACCAGGCTTATGTGTTTGGGGATTTTCACAAAGCTAAATCAACTCAACTTGAATCACTTTTACAACAAAAAATGAGCCAGTGGAAATAAAAGCTGAGCGTCTGTCTGCTTCCTGTTTCTGAGCTGCACACTGAACATGTCTACATTTGAAAGACAACATCATAATGTATGTTGAAAATTAAGGATTGATGGAAGTGCAGCGGTTAGTTCACAAACAATGAGAAAATATCAGCAAAGCATCAAAATGAGCAACACAGAAACAAATCAGTTCTAGTAAGTCAGTATGATATATAAGAGCAAATAGATTAGTTCCACCTGTAGCCATTGCAGAAGTCACACATCCTTCTGAAAATGCTTTTTGAAATCTGTGTGGCAAAAAAAAACATAAATATTGAAAGTGCTCTTGTGGGGGCTTCAACAATGGCTTCCATGGTAGTTTAACAACAAGATGACAAAGAGACTACAGGAGCTCAGTTTAGTCGACATGCATGTTATTCACCAGCAGCACTGAGACCCGGTGAACCTCCTTCAAACAGCAGCTGTTTCCACCTGAACTGGATGGATTCATGGATACATGATGGTCTGCATATTTAATTAGATCTAGCGTGCAACCACGAACAAGAATTTTAGAGTAATACATGTTGTGATTCCATCTTGGACTTATGCTCCAGATGTTCCCCTTTTGAGATGAAATGACCAAACAAGGAAGCAAGGAAAATGTCCTATATATTCCTTGTAATGTGTACAAGTATGACAAGGGGCCAGATGCACAAAACTCTGTGTAGATTCACAACTAAAACTATGTATGCACAAAGACAGATGTGTCACATTGGGCACTTTTCATCCGCCATACGTGCCGTCTCCTCAGCCCATTCAGTAATTTTCTGCCTCGTCACTACACCTACCTGCCAGCCTATCACCTGTCCACACATTTCCCACTCCTGACGCTCTACCAGGCCCACCTCATCAGGCTAACACCTCTCACCTGTGGATCATTTCCTCCTGTCACTATGAAGACGCCCGCCTCACAGACACTCCTTGCCAGATTGTTCTTCGCCTCCATGCAACACTTTCCAGCGTTTGTTTCCGGACTGCTTCCTCGTTACCGACCCTGCCTGTCCCTGACTCTCCTGCTTCATCTGCTCCCCTGTAAACCACTCTGCCCTCTGTTCTCAACCACAAGCTCTGCCTCTGCCTGATGGGTTCCTGTTCGCCTGTTCCTGTGGCTGTCTGGAGGGACAGTCACCCCGCTTTCCAAAGTGAGTTTCTGCTTGTCCTTGGTGTTGGTTTTGGGTCCAAAAACCACCTGTTGCAGATATGTGCATATACTTTCTTTTTTTTTTCAGATTTAAACGTTTCCCACGATCATGGAAAACCTGGAATAGTCATGGAATTTTGTAATAGTCATTCAAAGAAAAGTTTTGTTCGTGTAATACTTTATGAATTGTCATCAAATTTTATTATGTGTTCTTGAAAAGTCATGGACAAGTTTGGAAATTTTGTCTGTGGAAATTTGTGGGAACCCTTCATTTATAAAGATGCATATATGCCTTATTCAGTTTTAGAAATCTTGGTCATTATGGAGCTGGGTGCATATTCATAAGCCTTATTTCCACTCCCACCGTTCACCACATATAGATGTAGAAACTCTGTTAAACATCTGTTTGCATATCGATATATAGATAATTGTGCCCACTCCACAACTCATTAGACCTGTCATTGAGAAATACAGCAAACAAAGTGCAGTTTCATTGACTGTGATGCATCCGTGAGGATCCAGAGCAGCTGTCAGTATGCATGGATGTGGCTATCTGTAGCCTCCATACTAGCAATTCATCACATTTTTGCAGACCATCATTGTGGTACAATCTCAATTATCATTAATATTAAACATCTGAAGGATGATCAATGATTCATGGCGCTCATGTTGAAGCTGACAGGATAAAATCAAACAACCATCAACAGGAAGTGATGGCTGAGATGTAAATGAAAGTAACAATGAAATTCATTCATCACTCATAATTAATTGTGAATTAATTTTATAAATGTGTCTTTGACTGACATTTTACAGGAGGCTGCAAAAACAATAACGCAATCAATGAAACTGGCAGACGACCTGGAAACAATGTGCCCCATCTCTCATGTTATATTCAATCTCCTCCGCTTCCTATCAGTCACAGCTATCTTGGGTAAAACCATGCCTATGTGGAGTCTGAAATCTCTGCAAGGTGTACACATTCCCTCTGGGTATAGGCGTATGCATGGTTTTTGTGCATACACAGTCGCACATCTGACCCCAGGTCTCCCACAAGTGAGACTGGAACTGGATTTATACTCCTGCATTAAGAAGCTATGTACGTGGGCTCCAAGGCCATAGCTGACAAGCACAATTACAAATTACTAAACAAATTAGATTTAGCTGTTTCCTGCTAATGTCCATAAAAGACAAGTGCATTTGAAAGTGATATCAGGTTCCACTGAGTTTTTGATTTTGATGTATCTATGAAGCCATCCATGTTACACTTCAGTAGCCCAAATCTTTGATCTGGACATCCACAAACAACAAATCACCATTTCTTTCTGTATTGTTTATCCTCCCCCTCTGCCGCGAGATGGAAACTGCCAGTGCAGATGAAAGCCAGGACTCTTACCTTTGATGCCAAACTTGGAATTTCCTCCAAACTTGAGAATAACCAACATTAGAAGGAAACCAGTGAAGGCTACAGCAGCGATGCCGACCACCACATACACCTGCACAGTAAGACAACAGTGTTATAAACATCCTATACTGAGGAGATGCATAGTCTACACCACATCGCAAGGTACAGACAACAGACAGAGTTTCTATAGCTGTATCTTTGTATTGTGGTGGGTTCATTCAGTTACTTGTGACATGAAAATATAGATCCAGTTCAGGTGTTTCTAGGCAGGTAACACAAATACAAAGGAAATAACAAGCACAAACTGGCTGAAGCTATCAGCAGAAACAGAGACAGGGGACAACAGTAGTACGTGACTTACAGCGACTCTGTCTTCAGGAGGGTCTGCAGGGGGGCCCTCTGTTGAAGGAGAGAGACAGAGAAGAATAAATAGAGAAGAAGAGATACTCACGACATGATTTATGGCTGAGTGAAGAACAGTGTTGTAGGTAATAGTGACAAACTTTCTTCAGTAAATATGATTTAATAGTTCTGGTAACACTGAGTGGCTTTTTCAGTGGGTGAGTTGTATAGATGTGTTATTAGATCTGGATGCCGAACCCCAAGGTAGCGCCTGTTTAGTCCAAGAAGACATTCCTCAACTGGCGTGTACACTTTCTAGCTTCTGGATTTACTTCTGGGATATGTGACTCACTGAATATGTGTAGTAGTGTTTCTCCCACTGGTCCTGTTCACCTTATAGGCTTAACATTGTGATGACGGCACGGATTTTTAAATGGCTTTTATCGTCTTGAGGAAAATTTTACAAATATAAAAGCTCCATGGATCAGAAATCCATCATAAAAAGACTCATAATTGACCTTGTTCACAGTCCGAGATGTCCTGTCAACAGTTTTACAGACATGTCTTTAATAATGGGGGCTTGTGGAGAAACTGCTTTTTGGGTTTTCTTTTTACTCCAAAACTGCAGGTGGCCACTGGGAAAAATTAGAAGCAAGGCTGAGCTGCGTTCCTGGGGGCCTGGTGAATGTAGGTGTTTTGTATTTTGTGCTTGGTTAATCCACTTATAACCTGAACAGCAATTGGCCAATCATAGCTTAGCAGCTGTCTGTACCCAGGCACAGCAGGCCTGCCAAGCTAAGATTTCCCCCAAATGTTGAAGTGCTGTGCTGTGGCAGTAACAAGAGCTATACTTCTCCAAAGCCAAAAAAGTACAACAGCAAAAGACAAAAGTTTAACAAAGTGTTCCTTTGCTTTGACATAAACTACACGTGTTAGCATGGCCAGCCAAACAGATAACGGTTGACAGTTTGCTAAATCCAGCATTATTAACAGCAACATTTCATGCTACCATAAAACTTCAATGAATAGCCTGGGCCTATGTGCTTAATTCACTGAACGCAATGGGCATGTATTTGGGAAAGGCGTCTACATGGGATTAGGGGATCACCAGAGGATCCACGATACGATACTTAAGTCACGATACAGTGTTATTGTGATTTTAAATATCTTGCGATATGCTGAGTATTGCAGTAAAATAAATTGCGATATATTGCGATGTATTACCTTTTTTCAACTATAAATGATGTCCCCAAAAGAAAACTCTGCCAACGACTGTTTTATTTAATAAGATTAAGTTTTCAGTCTGTTTATCTCCCTTAAGCCTTTTTTTTTTTCTTCAGCAAAATGTGTCTGGTGGACTGAACAAGCAATTGATGATATCATTGAAGTAGGCTACCTTAAGTTCAATTTGTATTTGTAATATTAATAATGTATATTACAAAAAATAGATACTTGGCACAGTGTGATGATATGATATTGCCCACAAAAATATTACAAAAAATATTATATATATACACTATATGCTGTATCGATTTTTTTTTTTTCCTATATGGGATAGGCTTTTAATTCCCTTTGCTTATATTTCTAGCTCAGCAAAGATGGAAAAAACTATTAAATTGTATATTTACATCAGTATGAATATTATGGGTACTTTGAATAATTTTAAATAAGAAATATAATAAATTTGAATAAGAAATCACAACTCCAACTACCAATTATTCATTTGATCCAGCTCTGCACATCTAGTCATACTTTTTATTTGTCTTGTTAATAAAAGTCTTTAAATCTTCCCTAATATTTGCTGTACAGGTTAGACATGTAAGATAGGCCAAGGAAGCTGTTGAAGCATGTCAGTATGTGTTTTTGTTGTAATACTATCAACACATATGGTGTACCATAAAATTCAGCTTGAGAGATGGAAAAAAAAATATGTTGGTTACTGACGTTATTATAAGTTAGTTTGCACTTTAAGTGTGAAAAAGTTTTTAACACATCAGTTCGGCATGTATCAAGTGAGGTATACCACATAGCCTTTAAAATCATTGGAATATGTTATACTGTCTTAACAACAATAAACTGCTGTATGTGTTATGTATCATATTTGCATTGATTAACAAACTACATACCATAAACCTGACCTAAGAAACAAGGCCATAAAAAAACCCCACAAAACCAAGTGGCAGGCGAGGCAGATACCCTAATAGCGCAATACTGTAGGCCAAAGGCTGAATAAGAATACCTACTATACGCTGTACTGTACGTCTGGAACAAGTTAGTGCAAACACATCAATATAAAGTGATGCTTTGGCCTGCACGACATTCTAATGTGTTAACTGTGTCTGTTCTCACCATGCTTCCCTCCAGAAATACACCAATCGAAACCAAAAATAACAGTAATTATTGTCGTAATCATGTGAATAGTGGGGGGTGGAGGGGGAGTGGATAGTTAGCGCTCCATCCCCTCTGTGACTGATTCATTTAAAATCTTTTGTGTTTTATCAAAAAAACAAACAAAAAAATTGTTATTGTTATTTGGCAGTGGACACATTAGAAAGTGTAAATTATAAGGTTCCGATCAATATTTTTTCTAGCCTGTATGATTAAAAACTCCTGGAGATACTAATCTCAATAAACGACAAGTTATCAAGGTCCTGCCTATCTCCGCCGGCAAGTTGTGCACAAAGAATTGTGGGTACTTCCTGCCCACTGAGGATACACACATTCATCCTTGAAAATTCTCTTAACTAAGAATTCTGTCCTTGGTAGAATTTCAATGATCCTTGACATTGGAACAGTCATTCGGCAGGATTCAATGACATAGACTCCATGAAATTCAGCCATTTAAGGATCCTTCCTTGACTTTGAGAAGCACCTAGGATTAGTTGGTACTTGCTGCCATCAGCTGCCATCCAGTTGTTGATTCATGCAGACTGGCTTTGAACGGCTGATTCCATATGACGTCAGGGGCATGGATGTATTTTGTACAACCTCCCGGTATGACAGCCACAGTTATGTTGTTGCTCCACTTGAGCTCTGCTTTTGTAGCAGCACGGATGTGATGTCCATCAGTATCCCAGACAAGGAGACGAGGACCAAGGTTAAAGTTCCTCACCACTTTTTCAACCAGTCTGCAGTCACATCGTTGTTGATCCAGCTGTTTTTGGAGGAGGTCACCACCACTCCACTGATGATTTTCATTGCATAGACTTCCCTGGTTCAACACCACGAGGCTTCAGTTGTGTCCCTTCCACTTTCGCAGCCAACACCATAGTTAGATGACTCTTCTCATGGCCTGTAGTTTTCAGTGGAACACTGTGTGCACCTCTCGTGTCCACTGTAGTTGGACCGACCATATCAAACCACACCACTGTGTCATCCATAGATATGATGCTCTTATCCTGTATCTTCTTCTCAATCTGTTGTGTTGTAAATGTGACAAAATTCCTTCCAGCTTCCCAGTAAAGTACGTTGTGTCTTCTGGGCTGCAGTTCCTGACAGGAAAGTTGCTGTGTTTAAGGAGTCTGTCAAGCCAGCCAGCACTGGCAGCAAAGTCCTCCCCATCTCTGTTGTCACTCATGGTGACGTAGATTTCCTTAGTCTTCATTCTGATCATCTTGCGGGAGACTCTGAGATTTTGTGCCCGCATGCCGTGGATCTACTCAAACATGTTTAGCTCCAGCTCATCGCAAGTCTTCTCCCCCCCACCACCAAGCAGTCTGGCCCTGTTAATCTTGTCGTCATCCTCAGACAGACGTTGAAGTTCAGCTTTATTTTTTTGCCATTCTATCGTTCTCTCAGGATGGACGGAGAAATGTCTTGCTCCTCCTACTCTGGAGTTTTGGTCAGCATATTTGATAACAGACAACTTAAATTGCAGGTTTTGCTTTTTTCTCCTGCTGCCATCATGGCATAGAACATGAACGTGGTCACTGTTGCAACAGTTAGCAATGCTCATTTTACAGCACCCGAGGATTTACGACACCCGGCATTCACAGATCCACTCTCCTTATTGTCTTAAAACACACCTGCCTGTCAGCAACGAGCCTATTTAGTCTACCGAAAATGAAAAGGGGTGAAAACCAAACAGAGACAGGAGGGGACATTTTTTGGGGGCAGCAATGTAACGAATATAAGCATTAGCAGGTAATGTGCGGACATAGCAGTTAGTAGGCAATGAGCAACGGACTTCACATGACGATATTTACAACTTGGATTCATTTTTTCATGATATATCCTTTTGTCCATCCTTTTTTTCCATAAAATGAACTGAATGATTGAATTGTGGAGAATCTAACTGAGCTAACAATTTATAGCATGTCCATGATGACAAAACTGTAAACATTTATACACTTTTCAGAAACCCGTAAGCTTTAAGAGGTTTTAAATTTCAAAGAACTTGTATAAAAATGATGACTCTAATTGGAACCTGTGTTTACTTGTCAAAATGTGTGGCCACATCCTGCGATTAAAAGGGACTCGGCGTCAAACTTGGCTTTTGATTGAAGTTTTAGACCCTTTTTTTTTTGGGAATGTCAAAGGTATATTATGCAGGATTGTTGGTTACCGTCTGTAAACACCTATGGATTTCCTGAGCAAAGAAAAATGTACTCAGTGTGCAAAGGCCTTTAGCCTCACTGTTTTAGCACAATATGTATGTAGCCATCAAGCGTTCGCATTTCAAAATGAGTCAGATGGAAACATAAATTCAGCTGGAGATGTGTTTTCAACCAACTGAAGGAGCTAACGTTAGATAAATTAGTAAGCTCAGCATATTAGTCATTTCAGTCAGCAAAATCAATAATCACCAGCAATAAATGTGGAGTCTGCTTTTCAAATCAAGGATCCATTTTTAAGAAATTACCACAAATTTCAGATGGTAAATTTGCCACTGTCTGGTGCCTGAAACATCACATGTGGTGATAAGATTAAAATTTCCAAAGGGAGCAGTTTCTGGTGTGTGGACCTGTTTTTGTATTTTTGTATTTGTTCTTCTGTCCAGCACCCAGTTTCTGTCGTTGATGGATGTGCGTGCTGTTTTATGAATCTTGAAATCTGCCACTGTTCTCATTGTAAACTACACATGTGCTATGCAAGAACAGAGCGTGATAAGTGTAGCAACAGTAACTTAGGGGGGGCAGAGCTTAGCAGTGTTTGTGATTGTGAGTGAGCACACAAGAGGCGTGACAGTACCTGTGGTTAGTTCTGCAGGAGGGAGGAAGTGTTGAGGAAACAGCAAGAGAGAGAAAAGAGACAACAGAGACAAATTAGATCTCGAACACATCAACATACTTATAAATTATCTGACATGCACTTCACAAATAATGTTGTCAGTCATGCCTGGTCTCTGAGCTTGTTTCAGAAAACACATTGATTTCACAAACACTATACACAAAACAAAACAAAAAAAACACATTTAACATGCACATAAGAAAAAATAATAACATCAGGCCCACAGTGTGGGAAAAAGACAGAACAACAACCCTAATCCCTAGCTGCAAGGATGTGTAGGTATGTAATGCACCCTCAGCAACTTGAGAGATAAAAGAGAAAGAGAAACATTTCTAAAATGTAATTTGTGTTAATTGATGAGGATGAGAATGATGAGATGTTAAACAGAAAAAAACACAGATCTAAAAACACTGACCATGAACACACTATGAATCTAGATGTGTAAAATTTAACTTTAACATTTGATAAAAGCATTTGTAATAATAAATATTTATATCAGTCACCATAATAGTAAGGCTCCTTCTCCGTTCCTGTAAATTAGGACAACAACAAACAGATCATATATTTTAATGTACATATTATCATATTATATCATGACAGTGACAGTATCTGCACACTGGGTGAAAGCTATATTTTAGAATATGACAAATGTAATGTCAGCCATTTGCCTGATATGTCTTACGTTGTCTTCTGTCTGTCACTCCTTGCCTTTTTAAGTCCAAAGTTTTCGGTGCTTTATTCCAATATGCAGGTACTCTCTCTACCTTTCTTGATACCATTATACTGTACACGATCACCTTTCTGCATCTTCATAAAATAGTTCATGCCTATGTGCATCTCACGTCATCTATGTACTCTCTATGATTTAATATGCAAAAATCTGCCACATTCTGTGTTCTATCAAATAATAATAATAATAATAATAATAATGATAATAATAATAACGCCTCCTCCCTCAAATCTGGTGGTTACTGATAATTGCAGAATCAAAAATGTACCTTGCCAGTATGGCATCCCTTTTTTGGCAAAAAAAGTATTCTCCTGTCAGATTCAAGCTGTGAGACAGCATCAGTGAGAGGAAGGTGCTTTAAAAGTTTAAAGGGGGAGTCTTCTTCAAATAATCATCAAAAACACCCCCCATGAACTGTAACAAGTTCATGATCATGGCATAAAGAATAAAAAGCAAAGAGAGACACTGAGAAAAAAGAAACAAAAGCAACCAAAAAGTATGTATTCCAGGCTGGGGTTGGGCAATATATCTATATCACAACATGACATTGGATATCTTCTAAGATTTTGGAGTTCGTAATATCAATGAATGTTTTCTTTTCCTGGTTTAAAAGGCTAAGTGCTCTAATTTTCTGAACTGACCAGAGTGCACTGCCTTTACCCACTTTATACCCACATCATTATAGTCACACTACTGACAGTTATTTATCAGAAATATCATTTTGTAAATATTTTATGAAAACACCAATAGTCAACTTTACAATATCGTTGCAATATCAATATTGAGGTATTTGGTCAAAAATATTGTGGGATTTGATTTTCCCCACATCACCCAGTGCTACTACAGGCCAAGAAGTATTTGCAAGTTACATCAATATACCAGTTAAAAAACTAGAATTACCGCCGGGTGGTTGTATGCCTCTATGCGTCAGTCAAGTTTCTCTTAAAGTTTACATCCATGTCTGTGTAAACATGGAGGCTTCACACAAATCTTCCCCCCCCCAGGACAGCAGGGAAGATCCATACAGTCAGCACAGTCTCAAATTGGACATCCAGGATTAGTGTCACCAAATAAGTATCGGACCAAATATCTCCCTTCTGTTGCTGATATATGACGTTGAATACTGGCCAGAAAAGTGATTTATGTAAAATATTACGATGTAACAGTGAAGCTGACCTTTGACCTTTTGGATATAAAATGTCATCACTTCATCATTGTATCCTTTCGGACATTTGAGTGAAGTTTTGTCATAATTACCACATAACATTTTTGAGTTATGGCCAAAAACATATTTTGTGAGGTCACACCAACGTTGACCTTTGACCACCAAAATTCTAATCAGTTTATTCTTCAGTCCAAGTGGACGTCTGTCTCAAATTTTAAGAAATTCCCTGAAGGTGCTCTTGAGATATCACATTTATGACAATGAGACAAATGCAAGGTCACAGTGACCTTAACCTTTAACTTGGGCCGCCAAAATCTAATCAGGTAATCCTCTAGTCAATGTGAACATTTGTGCCAAATTTGAAGGAATTCCCTCAAGGCGTTCTTGAGATATCATGGTCACGAGAATGTGATAGACAAGGTCACATTGATCTTGACCTTTGATGGTCACAGGTCAAAAAAATAAAAAAATAAAAAAACTAATCAGTTTATCGTTGAGTCCAAGAGGACGTTTGTGCCAAATTTGAAGAATTTCTTTAAGGTGTTTTTGAGATATTGTGTTCACAAGGATGGGACAACAGACAACCTAAAAACATAATGCCTCTGGCCATTTGCCATTATGACAAAGTGGTGTTGTTTTATTACGATTAATGATCAATGAATCTTTTGGTCTAAAAAGAATTTAAGAAAATGGTGAACAGTTCCCACCACAACTTTCTAAAGACTAAGACATTTTCCAATTGCTCGAAGGAGGTATCACAGATGAGCAGATGTTGGGCTAGCAGCATCGGAGAAACACTGATTTGTAACATGAAACTGAGCGTTGTTTTTTTTTTTTTTTTACCAATTTAAATCACCTAGTCTTTTTTTTTTTAGAGGACAAGACCTCTGTGAATAATTCAGCACTGACAACAATGAGCACTGAATGAATTCTAACCAGGAGAAGTTTCAGCTAGTTGCACTCTGCAGTCCTCACAGGTAGATACCACTAAAATCCACCTAAATCTTACACACTGGACCATAATAAAAGTAAAAGCTTATTTTGTGTTGTGCAATGTTACTCCTCACCATTCCAGGGCTTGCGCATAAAGTGAGCCTCCACCTCCTTTTGGTCCAACCCATATTGGTTTTTAGCCAAAAGCGTGTAGCGGCCATTGTTGAGGTGTGTGGGGCTGTCCAGCTGCAGGCAGCCGTGGTATTCTCTCTCTGTGATGTCATGGATCATGGTCATGATGTAGACATCCTCTGTCACTGCTTCACCATCCAGAAACCACTGTAGGTGCGGCTCTGGGTTTCCTAACAAGGTTATAAAGACAAAAAAAGAGACTGATTTTCACTGATTTCTTATTCTTTAATCATCATTAAAAGGACATCATGTGCATGTCTTACCTGAGACACTGAAAGGGATGCACCAGTGATGGTCAGGGATCGCATCACTCAGCTTAGTGATCTTAGGAGGAACTAAATGTGGTAGAGAGAATACAGAGTTTAAGAGCCACAATGTGAAATATAGACAGAAAGAAAGAAAGATAAATCCAAAGAGCAATTCAGACCCAAAACTACTGAAGCATGCAAAAATACAGTTGTCTTCTGCAGCTTTTAATTCTCTGCACTGACGAACACTTTGACACAGTAATCTACATTGAATTAGGGCTGCCTGCCAGAGGGCAAACGTACAGAGTATATCCAGCAGCAGCGAGGACTCTTTCTCTCCAACAATGTTCTCAGCTGTGCAGCTGATCTTGCTGTTGTGGTCCAGCGACGACAGGTTGTACAGTCGCAGCACTGACACCTGGCCTGATGTCAAGATCTGTGTGAGTAAACACATCCATATATCAGCATAAAGATTTGGATATTTTCTCTAACGTACAAGTTAAAATAATGTTTGGTATATGTGACAAATTGTACAAAGCATCCCAGGGTGTAGGTTTTGTTTAACATTAGCGGTTACATGTATGAAGCGGGAGATTTGGGGTCCTCGCCCAAGAAATGTTGACCACCGAAACCTGATTTTTGGCACCAATTTGTGCCTTGTCTGAATCAATATATGATGGAAATTTGTCAAAACAAAACTTGTCTGCCTGAATATTTAGGGGAACATGTACCCTGCATCCTTCCCGTGAAATCTACACCTATGGAACCATCAGATTCAGCTCATTGTACCGATGAAATCATCACGTTAATGGTACTTTATATAAAAGGCAACATAAATCAGTGACAGTATCTCTCGCTCTGTCAGCCTGAGTCATAGTAAAACACTATGTCAGTGGGTGTACACTAAAATTACAGTAACAGCATACTTAAAAATGAAGTCAATGTCTTATAGGGATCATTTAGTTGTGGGGGGGGTTTCTAGTACTCTCACTGCAAAGTTTGCATGTGTGCTGACGACATATAGCTGAGCTCAATTATCAAATGTCTGTGGAATCAAGGATCAGCAAAGCATCTAGGACTGCAAATTATTTTTTTTAATTATATAAGTATAATTTTCCGGAGCTCAAGGTGACTGTTTTTTTTTTTTTTTTTGTGGGTTTTTTCTGACAACACTCCAAAAGCCCAAAAATTGTTAGTGTATTATCATATATGACAGATTTGAAATTGACTGAAACAATTATTTATTTAGATGTTATTTTTTTCTGTCAATTTATAGCCATGTTTCCATGAAATTGTCAGGTGAATTTTAAGCAAGCTTTTCACAAAAAGAAATGCAATTAGACACATTTTTATTGACTTTGTTTGGCGTGAATAATCTAGGCTCCGCAAAGCATAGTGTCATCTAAAGTTGGCAGTATAGGCTACGCATTACGCATGAATCTATCTGCCAGTAAACAAACCCTCTAATCCATCTACAAGAGAAAAACAATGACAGGTCTTAAGGAATTTGTTTTATTTGGGCAAGTTTTAATTGTTTATTAATCTTAGCTAGCATTGGCCTTGTTTCATGCTATCCTAAGACGAAGACAAATTAATGAAATGATTCTAATGCACAGGTGACGCTGACGGCAGAAACGGGTGATCAGACTTGAGTTTAATGTTCGCTACATTAGAATTTGTTCCGCATAAGTGTTTTTCATATCCCATTTATTGCATCAAGTCTTTCACTGCACTTGACAGAGTTTCAAGTTTTTCGGTTTTCATAAAGCTTTTCTGAAATGATACTTAAAAATGTAAACATGTGGATGCCAACATGGCTAATAAATTGGTTAGCTGAATAACAGTTTCAGCTCTAGAACCATTAATACTTAAGACAAGTGATGTGACATGACGTGTAATCCAAAGAGTTTATGTTTCTGCAACCCAGTCTCACTCCAAAGTCGTCGAAATCCAGTGCTTAGACAGTGACTTGCAGTGTCAGTCAATGACGAAAAAGCCGTCCTTAAACATCAGCATGATACGCGGCTGGTCGCTGTTAAAGGTTAATGGTGCTCAGCGGCATTGGGGGCGGGGGGGGAGCCAACGGGATACAAATGAAAGTTAAGGCGACGAAAGTCCGCGTAGGGTGGGCGCTGGGTTTGCATCCCGTAAGATTATAAAGCCAAACCCTGTTCTTTTTTCCTAAACCTAACCACTTTTTGTTGCCTAAACCTAACCAAATGCAGTAGTTTTTGAAGGCAAAAAAAACACCAATTTGTGTTATTTTACTGATGTAATGCGTTTGGTTTAAAATAAACTGTATGTAAACGGGAAATTTCCTGTGAAAACAGAAGTGTACTTTAAGAGAAGACAATGCATGTAACAGGCATTAATTGACAAGGTGTCCCAAAACATCTTAATCCAATGCACCCAGGGTACCTTTCACATGGTATCTGGACATGGAAAGTCCATGACCATATGTCGACATGTGACAAGGTCGCAGTGAGAATGAATGTGTCAGTATCCATGTGTGTGACCTGACCTCATAGTTGGAGACCAACGCCATGTTCCATATGAGCTCAGGAGAGGGCACTCCAGAGGTCGTACAGGACAGCTCCACTTGTGTCCCCTCCATTTTTACCACTTTGGACGGGCTCAACGTTGCCATGGGAACCTCTACATACAACCAGGGAGTGGGACGGAGGAGAAGCCGGGGAGGAAGGCGCAGAGGTGGAGAGGAGGGGAGAGAAAAGGGAGGAAGCAAACTTAGGATTCATGGCCAACTCTTGTCTTTTCAGTTGAAACACAAAGCACGTAACAACCTCGACAATAAGAGTGGAAGAGCAGGCAAACACACACCCACTACCACAGAGTGAAAAGAAAGACACACGAAGAAAAGACCTCGAATTCAATCTCCTTCGTTCTCACTCTCTCGCTCCGTCTCTTTTGCTTTCATTTAAGCACACTCACCCCAATCAAACAGTCAGACAAAGAGACAGAGTTCAAACACAGCGATGGTTACACTGATTACTAGTGCATGTCTTCAGCAGCCCAAGTACTAAATTGATTGGACACAGTCTGAAGCCTCAGTCAAAGCAAAGACACTGGTGACTGTGTGCGTGTGTGTGTGTGTGTGTGTGTGTGTGTGTGTGCGTGCGTGTGTAGTGCTGACCAGGAGGTGACCTGAGTATGACCAATCACACTCAATCAGAGTCTTGCCACCCTCATCCCCTGTCCAATAACATCCCTGATGAAGAAAGAGGAGAAGGAAAGAAAAAGAGAACAGAGAGATGAGAGGTGGAAAAAAGAAAAGGAGGAGGAGATGAGAACCTGAGGAAGAAAAGAAGATGAGAAGAAACAGAAAAGATGAGAACAAAGCCAAGAGAGGGAAAAGAAAAGAAGCTGACACAAGACAAGATTCAAGGGGAGGTTGCATTATGCTTCCTTGCGTCCTCTCTCCTCCCGTGACCCGAAAATCGTTCCCCATTCGTTACCATTGAGGATCTACAGATTTCTTAAATGCACCTCAAGGAGACGAGGAAAGAGGAGGATACACAGGTGTATCCTACACATAAGTCTGGGGGTGTGTGACATATGAATGCCACACGTCAACACTTGGCACTTGTGTCGCTTAAAGGGGTACTTTGCTGATTTTGAACCAGGCCTGCGTCACCATGTTGTGGCGAGTGTGGTGTGTGCAGATAAATTGTGTTAAGAAGCCTCCGTGCCACCGGCTTCTGGAGCGCCCCACCTGTCCACTGGCCAAAATCTGCGGGATGACTCAAAATGATGCTCAGGCCATGGGCGGGGACACTCAGCACACAGCAGTGACACAGACCTGGTTGAAATCGGCTAAGTATCCTTTTAAGACTGACATTTTGGAACGAAGGAATTTCTCATCTGGCAGCTTCCGCTACTCCGCCCTCGCGTCTCTTCCTCGCATCTCACAATGCCTCGCTAGGAGGAGCTAAGGCCAGAGAAGTGTGGGATGTGAGGAGACAAGTTAGTGTAATGAAAAGCACCCAAAGAGAAGGGAAGAAGAGGAGAAGAGAGAAAACGAGAATAAAAGAAAGGAGGAAAAGAGAAGAAAGGACGAGAGGAGGATACAAGATGAGAACAGAGATAAGTGAAGACGAAGAGGAGAAGAGACAAGACGAAAAAGAAAAGAAGATGAGAACAAATTGAGGAGAGGGGAAGAAGTGCAGACAAGATGAGAACAAGATGAAGAGAAGGAGAAAAAAGGAGAACAAAAAGAAGAGAGGAGAAGAAATGGGTGTCGACAGCTACTGCAGATAAAACTGGACAGATTCCTTATCGAACCCGTTCCTCTTCCCCCCTCCTCCCCTCCTCCTCCACCTCTTCTGTCCGTCGGCAGAATGCTTATCACCAGGGCAACCCACTTATCACTACGGCAACCCACTCAATCACTGTGAGACGCACTAAAAACCAGTCATTTCAGTGGTGGCAGGCCAGCTGCCATATCAGAACCACATATCTTAACAGGCTCTCGGTAAATCAGCTTTCTACTGACACTACAGCCATCTGCAGGTCGCACACACACACACACACATGCATGCACGCACACACACACACACAAAGCTAGACCCCACAGAAATCAGAATAAAACTTCTGGAAACCTATTTGGTTTTGATGTGAGTGCAGTTGTCATGACCTGTCAGTACACAGAAAATTATTTCCATGTTAAATTATTTACAGGCGCGGCTTTGGTAGTCAAACCACCCATGACATCCCGTGTGATTGTAATCCTTTAGTGGCTGGGATGTGTTCAGAATCAACAAGTAGGATTGAAGAGGAATTTACCGTAATTAGCACGTGCAGACTGGCCTGTGTCTGTGACAACACGAGTCATTACGTGGAAAGATTTCGCCATTATGTGCTTCAGCGTTTGGCATGCTCTACAGCCCACCTGCAGCCAGTTGTTAACATATGGAAAACACTAGCAGTCAAGTGTCTGCGCAGGGCGAGCCAACTAATGCACATGTATCACAACTGAAAGGAAACCAGACACTGTAAAAAAAAAAAAAAAACAGCATTTGGTGGAATGTATTCTCTTTTTGTTCTTATAAAAATCCCAACTCAAGGCCCGCTTACTTGTGTTCAGCTGTCTTCACCTTTGTACGGAATTTGCCCTGTTATCACTGAGGTGGATTATTCGCATACAAGCCCATTAGCTGTATTGATTTTATCTGAAGCATTAAAAAAATATCAGAAATAGGCAAGAAAGTGGACCTTGAGTCAGGAGTGAACTTTTGTGCTTTAAGTTACAATTCTGAAGATCTCAGCATCATTCTCTTTGGCTGCACCTATTTCGGTAATCAAAGGTGTGTTTTTGAGCCCCACTGCTTCAAACATACGTGAGGTAAAGAGCTAGCTGTTGCGGTAGCTCTGCCTACCCACTCTGGCAGACCAACCATGGCTGTATCAAGAAAACTGAAAACAGCCTTGAAGGCGGGGCCCCTTTCATTCCTATCAGAGTTGCTCAGTGGTGCATGAAGCCAAAAAAACTTAAAGGGGAAGTTCTGTTTTTTACAATCTGGACCTTATTTCTGGCATTAAATACAGTTGTTTACTCACCCAGATAAGTTTGGTGTCATTTGGAGTCCTTCGGAAGGTATTTAGATCCGCGAGAGCCGCGTACATCCATATAGTGGGAATGATCGGGGCACCGACAATGAGGCTCTAAATAACACATTATCTGCCGCGAAACTCGTTCATTTCACCAATATGTTTTTATGAATCACTAGAGTTGCTTGTCATCATCATCATCTGGGTCATTTATACTGACCTACTAACCTCTGACATGGATGATGTCATCGCGCCGCCGCACGTCTGCAGTACGGCTTTGTTTACAGCTGGAATTTGCTACTGTTAGTTTTTTGAAACATGGCTGAATATTTGTCAGATTTTGAGGTTGTGGATGACGACTTTGAATATGATGGACGTCCTTACCGTTTTGAGCCAGAGTACCTGGATGAGGAGCTCTTTGAAAGGAGGATGCAGAGGCAGAGAGAGGAACAGCTGGCCAGAGAACAACAAACCGCTGCACGTCCGAGAATAGATGCTAACTGGTGGTGTTCTTGTGAACAATGTTGCACTATACCAACAGAGGAGGAATGCCTTTGTTGCTCCGAGTGGGATTTGAGGCCAGGAGATACACGTCTGGATGTCTCCAGAAATGACTGTCTCACAACTACAGAGGATTTCACTTCTATGATCAACCGGGCTGTTGTAGAGATTTTTTCGTGTCCCGAAAGTAAACTGAAGACCCAGCCAAAGCCTGCAGGACTGAACGGGCAACTTTCGATTGAGTAAGTAACGTTAGCCTACACACATGCATAAATTGTTTATTTTCCTTGAATTTGTTTGCTTGTTAAGTAAATAATTATTAGAATTTACATTTCTTTAGTTTCTTCTCATTGCTTGTGTAGAACGGCCCGCACACTGCACAAAAAGCAGAGGCACTTCTTATGCAAAACGTGAATTTATTATTACATAGTGCTCAGTGACAAAAAGTGAGAAACAGAAAGGTGAATGTTTCGGTGGTACGAATTGCCTCTGACATCATCCAGGTCAGAGGTTAGTAGGTCAGTATAAATGACCTGGATGATGATGACAAGCAACTCTAGCGATTCATAAAAAAATATTGGTGAAATGAACGAGTTTCGCGGCAGATAATGTGTTATTTAGAGCCTCATTGTTGGTGCCCCCATCATTTCCACTATATGGATGTAAGCGGCTCTCGCGGATCTAAATATCTTCCGAAGGACTCCAAATGACACCAAACTTACCTGGTTGAGTAAACAACCGTATTTAATGCCAGAAATAAGGTCCAGGTTGTAAAAAACGGAACTTCCCCTTTAACTTCCCGTGTGTAAAATTGGCTGACTTCCGACTTCAGTTGGGATAAAATTATTTTATTGTGCACTTATCCTAGACTTTTGAAATGTTAACGAACCAAATAGATCAATTCCGGTAGTGACACGAGTCATTTCGCTGAAGTTGTGACTTTTAAAAAATATATCCACTGGTTTACAGACGTCTCTTTCAAAATTTAAGTCTATGGGGAAAAGTATTTTGGACCCAATAGCATCATCTGACAGACCTGCAAGTTGTAATTTTACTGTTTGGCCACTTTTAATTTTCTTTTATGGGAATGTCTCCACAAACACCTAGTTTGTTATAGTTAAAATGTAAGGGCTTTCATCTGTGGGTCATAGGCATAGTCACCATTGAGTTACCTTACCTTTATTTTACATTATTTTACATTTATTTAAAAGAAAAAAATCTTCTAGATGATTACTTTAACTTTGAACCCACACAGACAATAGCTGAAACTACACCAGCTGCAGAGCTCATGCAGTGTTTCCCACACAATTGGAAACTATGTGTGGTGGTAGCTGATGCTAAGGGCTGGGTTTTTTTTGCAGGTCTGTAGCGCAGGCAAAGCTCTTTGTGAGTGTATTTATCCTTAGCAGCAGTATGTAGAGTTTGATGAGCAGGGTTGATAATTGACCAGTCGATCCAATCAGAGCTGATCAGATCAGATTGATGGATGAGAGGAGCAGTTGCTGTGAGTGAAAGCAGATTTTAGAACCAGCGCAATGAATGGTTAAGTTCAGCTTTCACTGCACCTGACATTCTCGTGCTCCGTTCCA